CCATCGTGGGCAACGTGCTGGTGGTGATAGCTGTGCTCACCAGCCGGGCGCTGAGAGCCCCCCAGAACCTCTTCCTGGTGTCCCTGGCCAGCGCGGACATCCTGGTGGCTACCCTGGTCATGCCTTTCTCCTTAGCCAACGAACTTATGAATTACTGGTACTTCGGCAAAGCTTGGTGTAACATTTACCTGGCGCTGGATGTGCTCTTCTGCACCTCCTCCATCGTCCACCTGTGCGCCATCAGCCTCGACAGGTATTGGTCAGTCACACAGGCGGTGGAGTACAACCTCAAACGGACCCCCCGGCGGATCAAGGCCATCATCCTCACTGTCTGGCTCATTTCAGCTGTCATCTCCTTCCCGCCATTGATCTCCATGTACCGGGACCCTGAAGAAGATGGCTTTCCCCAGTGCAAGCTCAATGATGAGACATGGTACATCCTTTCTTCTTGTATTGGCTCTTTCTTTGCCCCCTGCCTCATCATGGTGTTGGTCTATATCCGTATCTACCGCGTGGCCAAGCTAAGGACCAGGACCCTCTCTGAGAAGCGTACAATGCCAGAGGGGTCCTCCCAGACTGAGAATGGCTTGAGCCGCGCTGCTGGCGGCTGCACATCCCTGAGGATGCAGCTGGGAGAGAATGGACATTATTCAGTGCACCACTGGCGCAAAGCCTCTGAGCTGGAGGACATTGAGCTGGAGGAGAGCAGCACCTCAGAGAGTAGACGGAGGCGGAGCCGGGAGGAGCATCCCCGCAAAAGCAGCAAGAGCCAGTCCTTCTCCTACTCGTATTCCTCCAAGCATTCTAGTAGCCGTCTGTCCCGCTCTAGCAATCGCTCCATGCAGTTCTTCTCATATCGCCGTCGCCGGAAGCGTAGCAGCATCTGCCGTAAGAAAGTCACCCAGGCCCGGGAGAAACGCTTCACTTTTGTGCTGGCCGTGGTCATGGGGGTCTTTGTAGTTTGCTGGTTCCCTTTCTTCTTCAGCTACAGCCTCTATGGTATTTGCCGGGAGGCATGTGAGGTCCCTGAGACGCTCTTCAAGTTCTTCTTCTGGATTGGGTATTGCAATAGCTCCCTCAACCCAGTTATCTACACCATCTTCAACCAGGACTTCCGCAGGTCCTTTAAACACATTCTCTTTAAGAAGAAGAAGAAGAACTTCCGGCATTGAGCTGGAGGGATGGATTTGCCTTGAGCAGGAGTAGAGTTAAAAGAGAAGGAGAAGGCTCTATGCTGAAAAAGAAGGGAGGAAAGAGAACATGGGGTTTGGGCTTAGAGAGAAGGAAGAGGGCTTGCCCCCTCAGTGGAGCAGAGTGATGCTGTGGGGCATGGGGATAGTGTCAGGGAGGCTGAGGGCATTCACCGTGGTACAGAATGGCGACATGGTGCTGGAGGAGTGGTGCTGGAGTGCAGATGGGTAAACGGGGAGGGGAGTGGTTGTCTTTGAACCCTGACGGAGTGCATGGGGAGTCCGTGGAGGAAAATAGGCTAAGACACTGAGTTTGGGAGGCAGTGAGCTTTTATGGGCTCTGGAATTTTGGGGGAAAATAAGCAGAGACATCAAGAGGAAAGGATTAAGTGGCAGTGGTGGTGGAGATTTGAGTATTTATAAATAGAGCAGCTGGGGCCTGTGGTGGGCTCGTCCCAGTTAGAAATTGGCTTTTACTGCTTATGTGGGGAAAGAAAGTGCAAAGTACCAGGCACTGACAGTCTTTTGAGTTACGAAAGGATTTAAATGTTTGCCAAAAAAACCCCCTAAAGAACAATCCAAACTCTTTTCTAAATAAACCTTTGTACTGTTAAAACCTTCTGAATGATGATTTTACACAGGACTTAAGTCAAACAGAAAGCATGGGGTTTTCTTTTTCTTTCAAGGGGTCTCTGCATATAGAGCTGGATGGGAAATATTTTTCCTATCTTCCCTTAATTTCTGATTCGTCAGTGGGACAAACCTGGGAATCCCGCATGTTTTCATGAAATACAAAAATGAGCACGTGCACCCCATGAGCTTATTTCCCCCTGTTGGATCGCCAGGCAGTAAATTCCTGCTCTGTCCCTCTCAGATCAGTGGCCTGAGCACCTTGCTGTCCTGGAGCAGGTAGTGAAAAAAAAAAAATCATTTTGGTGAACTCACCTAACATTTTCTGAGTTGAAAAAAAAATCAAATTTCCAACCAGCTCAACTTGCATGTGCCCTGGGGAAATTTCTCCCCCCTCTTTTTAGGTCCCCCTCAAAAGGCTTATCTCAGGGGCTGGATGCGTGCTGCTCTCATTCTCAGGCAGGCAGTTGGACGCAGTCTGCTATGCAGATTTTCAGAGGAAGAGCAATCACCGCACCACTAAGGTCTTTAAATCCTTCGTATTTACAGTCTTAGAGCAACTAAATCCTTTATATTTATTTTTTTAATGAGAAGCATACATTGCAGATTGTCAGTGGTGTATGTGAACAAATCTCAAAAGAAGCTGCAGTTGTTCCAAACTTTTAATATTAATGTTGCTTTCTTTCCCTTTTCCTGTTTGCATTTCTAGTTTATGATTTCAGAGGATTTTATTGGGGGGGGAAGAGGGGAGAAGAGTTTGAGTAGTTATTAAAGCAAACTGTATTTCCCATGGGTTTATAAAATGTCATAAACTGTAATGAAGAGAATGAGAGACAGGGACTGCTGTCTGTACATTCGCCACTGAATGCATACCTAGTGTAAGACTCAGCTGAGCATTTACATTCCTTCTCCAGCTGTGCTGCTGCAAGGTGTGTATTCTGTTTGCGGGGTAAATACTGCTCCATTTTATGTGTATTGCTCCTTCCATAGGCAGCAGGATTTGGCATCTGCCTCAAATGAACCTTTCCATAGTAAACAGCTCTTTGGAAAATAGAACAAAATCTATTCTTACACGGCAGGCTTCTTGAAACAGCTAAATTGAATCTATACCTGAGAATCATTAAATATCCCCTTCCTCTATTCTGTCTGAAAGGTGTCTATAGCCTCTCTTCTCTTGAAATCTCTATGGCATAAGGAGAAATGATAAAGCAGTCACTTGTTTCACCAGTTTTTCATAATAAGCTTTTGGTTCACTTAACCCTGGAAAAGGAGGTTGTTGGTGGCTAAGATTCTGGTGGTAATTCAATAGACAATTTAACTTCAGGGCCAACTCAAGTGGGAGTTCTGCCAAAGTAAGGATTAGATGATTGCACCAAATGCATTAGAAGTTTGCTTGATTTCACTAAAGATACAACCGAGACATTTTCAAAGTCTTAAGTCGTAACTTATTGGATCCTTTCTTGAAATAAGACTTGGAATTGTGAAAAGATTTGAGCTTTGTTTAAACATTTGCACTTAAAGAAAGGATGTTAAGACTTATTTTCAGGAGAATCCCTTTGTAAATAAAAGTGGTTTGGTTCAAGTATGTACCTGAGACAGATAAATATGAGAAAAAATAGCAACCGAGAGGAGGAAATTACAAGCCATTTTCTCTTTTGCAAAATGGAGAATTCTTTTTAAAGTTGTATCAATAAAAGCTGAAACGAGATGATATTATTTGTAGGTAACGATGTAGCTAAAAAGTTCAGGTTTGTTTAATCTGAAGAAACTATATAATTGCCAGAGCAACCAAAGCAATATATGGTACATAGCTACTACCTCTGAGCTACTGGACGGCTTCATTAGAGATACCCATTCCTACCAAGATAAAGGTCTGCTTTTGTCACTTAATGCTTGTTTTTGAGTGGTTTCCCAGTCTGCAGACACACAGCAGTTTCACTGTTGCACTGCTTTTGAAATGAGATTTGTTGCCTGTAAACACAATCCTTCCCCTTTGTTTTTCCTTGTAGAGTTCAAGGAGTCTATGGAAATGAAATTTAATTGATAGTCAGATTTTAGTGAAAATGAAGTACATATGGAATGACTGATGTGCCTTAAAAGTAATTTCTTCGCTATAAAATTATTCTGTGGTCATTATAAACATAAAGGAGATAATGCTTCTATTATTGTTTTGCATTTTCAAATGTCTAAAAGGGATTGATGCAGATACTGAACATCTATGTGCAGCAGCATACTTAAAAACATGGCATTTTCTGTGGTTTTAATTTATTTCTCATCACAGTTACTCATCTGATTCAATGCCTCAAGAGGATCTTATTTCTTCTGAGCTAGATAAAAAGTAATATTCATCAATAAAGATGTGCAGTATACACCCCTTTTAAGTGCATTTCCCTTTAAATTAGTGAATACAGAGGATTTCTATAAAAATTGTTTTTAATGTAACTACTGAATATGCTTCAAGGAAGTAAAATGGGGCTGATTTATTTTTTTAATTACAGTGTTCTCTTATACTTGTAATAGCTGAAGACTGGAATTTGTTTGTAACATATTGTGTGGTGTTAACTTTTCATAAAAAGTTATCAGCTCTGCTACTCACACTCTGGTTGTGCTTCCACTGTAAGTTGGCTAATAGCATATACAGGAAAAAAACAGTCAATGCAGCTTTTGCTTAAAAAAAGGGAAAGGATCTTATTTCTTCTGAGCTAGATAAAAAGTAATATTCATCAATAAAGATGTGCAGTATACACCCCTTTTAAGTGCATTTCCCTTTAAATTAGTGAATACAGAGGATTTCTATAAAAATTGTTTTTAATGTAACTACTGAATATGCTTCAAGGAAGTAAAATGGGGCTGATTTATTTTTTTAATTACAGTGTTCTCTTATACTTGTAATAGCTGAAGACTGGAATTTGTTTGTAACATATTGTGTGGTGTTAACTTTTCATAAAAAGTTATCAGCTCTGCTACTCACACTCTGGTTGTGCTTCCACTGTAAGTTGGCTAATAGCATATACAGGAAAAAAACAGTCAATGCAGCTTTTGCTTAAGAAAAAGGGAAACGATATTTTATGTTTCAAATGTGTCCAGTTGTGTCTTTGATCACATCTGATGAGCTCGTTGAAACACTCTTTACTGTTGTGGAAGAATGAAATGTTACTGTGAAGCCATATTGATTTTAACAACAAGCACCTGATCTTTAACTGTTCATTTGCTCATTTCACCATGAAGAAAAATTTCTGTCAGTCTAAAATGAGAAGTTAATGTTTTATTTTTGAAACCAATTTTCTGAACGGTACCACTATTGGTTGGTTATTGAAATATCGAACAGTACAACTTTGCTAGGATGGGAATTCAGTGCTGCTGTCCTTCAGCCCTCTTCTGTGGGAGTTTTGCATGAGTGAGAACTGCAGAATCAGCCTCTTCAGGGCTTGGGACAGATGGAAGGGGCCTTATATATAGGAGATTTGACAGGATCACAGCTTTAAATCATTGTCTAAAGTAAGAATCAGGCCCTTGTTGTTCTGTGTGCTCTCTGTTCAGAAGAGCCATGTTGTTCCAAGAGCACTGGCAATTTCTGAGAAGTAGACCTGAGATGGTTGTGAGCAGCTTTGCTCGCATTGAGCTGTATCACCCTTTGTGAGTAAACCCAGAAAACTTCAGTGGAGTTTACTTGTGGGTGAAGGAACTACTCAGTGTGGGCAAGGATGTTAGGAGCTTCCTTAGACGTTGCCTCTTTTTCAGTAAATGTGCCTGAGGAATGTAAGCAAACATTTGTGCGTAAATGTACAAGAACTGAAAGAAAGGAGTCCTCTCTGCTTAACTTTGACTACTGTTCAAACCCATAGAAGGTGTGGGTCAAGGGGTTTTTGACTATATAACCAGAGCAACAAACCCTACTGTATATTTTCAGTACAAGCTGTGTGAAAAGCATTATCTGACTGCATCTGTTTTTTGGAGAAGAAAACTGTTGGTCTCTTTCTTGCTCTATGGAAGTTGGTATTGGTTAGAACAGCATCTGAGAAGTGTAAGGATTTTGAAGGAAATGAAAGTAACAACATGCAGTTCAGGAGAATGTTCTAACCTTAAACTATGACTACAGTCAAGAAGGAGAGAATACCTACAAGCTGTGCAAAATGAAGGCCAGATGCTATCTGTGAGTTTGTTTTCATGCTTGCTCATTGTGACCTTGTTGGCGAGCAGAAGGCAACTAGATGCTTCAGAGAAAAAGCTCTAATTTGGAGGGGCAACGGTGTGTGCGGAAATGACTACCCACAACACTGGAGGAATTAATATTTACTTACCTTCTTTGCACTGTAGACAAGTACAGTGCAGGAATTTGCCTTTTTCATTGC